TTCTGATATTCGATGCTCTGGGTAGTACCCTAAATAGTAGGATCCTTATTATAAGGAGCCCAAGATAAGGTACCCTATCCCATGTGGATGCGAAGTTGAGCTTGACATAGCTTGATGTTGTCGCATGTTCAACTCTAGGATCTTCCGGGTCCACTGACAAGTCTCCCTGCTCCATATTTGAAAGTTTTCTGCTCGATCGATAAGGCCCCCTTATGTAAGGCTGCCTCGAAGTGTTGCAGGTGCTTTCGCAAGGCTGGCGCTTCAAGTTCTCATCTGCTGGACTGGGCATGCCCTGTGGCATCGATTAAGGGTTCAGGACATACTCAACTTTGGATTTAGAATGACGAGTTAACGATGTTTACAGAGGTGCAACGTTTCACATCTTTCGCAGGGATTTGCAGTGTTGAGGCAGGCAGGTCAAGAGTCAATGCAGCTTGCAAGCTGAGTCTGGGACACCTGACACCCGAGCTTGTAGTAGTACTAGGAACACAACACATAGGCCCCATAGTAGTTCCTTTTTAGGGTTACCTTATAGGATTCTATATATGAACCCCAAAAAGGAACTACTTTAGGGCCTATGGGAAGAGTAGCAGTCGTTTTGGATTGTGGCAATCATAGCGCCGGCGATTAATAGTTAATCGTAAGAAGAGCAGGATTGACACTCGTCACATCCCTTAGCTGGCCGAGCGTCCCAGAGCCATTTTAGGGCTTCCGGAAAATAAGGGGTACCTTATTTTGGGGTCCTTATAATAGGGATCCTACTATTTAGGGTACTATATTAGGGCCCCCTATTTTCGGAAACCCCCATTTGTCGAAGTTTATGATTGTGAAGCCAAGGCTCACGCCGCAGTGGCTGCAGGAGCGTGGGATTCCAGAAGCCATGAAGCAAAACGGCGTAGAAACGTCCAGCCTCTGGGCTATCCGTTTTATGATGGGCATCATGAACCGTATCTAGGCTAGTTCTAAATAATTAGAGTCCCTGTTTAGGTCCACCAAATAGTACGGCACCCTTATAAAAGGACCCTCATTTAGAGAACTACCCACTTATTACGACTTCACCTCTTCTGTATCTACCGATATCAGTCTGCAGAGACACAGACAGCGCTAGTCGGCTACGGGTCAATGCGTCTGCGATCTTGGATCAACACGCAGAGATTCAGAAACCCAACGGTCTATAACTAATTACCTGCATGGCTATGTAATGACTTCTCTCGCCTTTTGTGGAGGTGAGGAGGGCAGGGGCTGATTCGATTGCACATGTGGTTACTTACACTAAGTGTGTGTGTGTGTGTGTGCGTATTTTTACATATATACACACTGTTACGCACAGCATGACATCACAAGCAAACTTCGCTTCTGGGGAGTTGTTTGAATTCTGCGCTGCGTGAGCTTGAGAAGCCCTAACCCCCCCAGTTACCTACTATGTAGGGTACTAGAGCCCCTGGAGCCCTATATAGTCGGTACCTGGGAGGTTAGGGAAGGTCACATGTAGCTGGCAATGGCCAGAGAAGTCGACCCACTCTGAAGCGCTACATGCAGCTCCAACACCCAGCAGCGCTATAGCCTAGAGCAGGGGTTTAGGGTTTAGGGTTAATCCGTAAGTTTTTTGCCTACATCTTTTCCACTCCATGGAGGACTCCGAGGTTAGTGTGCTACCCACTGAAGTACGGGAAGCCCATGGCCGAGGAGACACAGTGCCTTAACGGCTTTGGCCCTTCCGTCGATGGGTTGAGGGTTTACCCTTTTTGGGGTTTAGGGTTTAGGGTTTAGGGTTTAGGGTTTAGGGTAGCCTCCATTGTAGTTCCTCTTTGGGGATGCCATATAAACTCCTTAATATATAGCTGGTTAAACCAAAAAAAGGAACTACAATGGAGACTACAGGTAAGGCCCCGTTCAGGATTGTTGGGCTCCCTTCGAGTTTCCTTTAAGGATTCTATATAGGTTCTATACGGTTACAGTTACAGGGTTAGAAAAAGCACGAGTTGGGGCACTGTGAACAGACGTCCTGCAACGGCTACGCGCAGTCATGGGTGCTGATTGAAGGATGCTGGTGATACCGTGCCTGCGAAACCCGGTGTTCGCCTTGTGACGGATAGAGCAACGAGGAACTTAGCCTGGGGACGATCCGGGTTGTTGCACATGTGTCCTTTTGCCCGTCTTCATCGACGGAGCATCTCAGGTCTTCTACTTGCCTTTGTCCGACCCCAGCAAATCCGTGCCGAGCATTCGGACAGAGATGCAGACCATCCAGGCAGATTCGGCTCAACTGCTCTTCTTGCGCCGGGTCACAGAGATCAGTTTGAAGGGCGACTGGGCAGCAGAGGAGGAGTCCGAGCAGTTTGCAGATGCCTGGGCCAGAATAATGGTGGCGGGCTCACAAGACCCACGTGCTGCCACCACGCGCCAGCGCTTCCAGCAGACGGGCAGCGAGCCCCCAGTTCTGCTGGAAGAGATTACAACACGTTTCCAGATCAGCAGCCACGAAGACGTCCTGGTGGCACTTCCGAAAGTGGAGGAGCCGCCCCCTCAACGTGTGTTCGCCTTTCTTCCTGTGCGATCAGCGGCTTGGCTCATTTTTGTCGCAGCTCCGAAAACCTTCCCTGCTTTCACTGCTTTCCCTTTGTGCGCAGCTCCGCCTATTCAAAGGCCTTCAAATAAGACAACGCAGTAGAAAAATTATGTATCAAACACCATTTCGCCTATCAGTAAATGTAAGCACAACATCCTAGACCTGAGGTGGGCTTTCGCTTTGCCATCCAGGCACCGTTTCACCTGACGGCAAGCAGAGCCGATTTGCCTCCTGTCTAAAAGCCTGGGGCTATTTGAGCTTGGGGTGTCGAGATTCAAAGCTTTGGACGAAGGCTCTCCTGGTGAATCTTTCTGTCTAGCGTCTAGCGTCTAGAGAGCCTTGGCTTCCATATCTATTGCTTGTCAGTGATTTGGTGTACATCTCATGCCCCTTACACAAAAGCCTTAAAACCTTCAAAAAGACTACGCCCTAGCGAGTGTGTTCAGGCATCGCTCCCCGGAGAACCTTCGCCGCCGCAATGCCGTGGCGCCTGCCTTCATCAAAGCATGCCAGGCAAACTCAGAGACACTCGGACAGGACAGATGTCATGGGGAATCTTTCAAGCTTCTGAACTCTTTCAACTCTGTCAAACTGCAACGCAAAAGCCACATACCCTTGTTGTTTGAATGCTTTGCACCGGAGCCTGAAAGCTCTTGAAGCCCTGAGCCCCGAGACCCCCAGACTCCAAAACCCGAAGACAATGGCACAGCCTTTCGAAGCCTTTGACCACAAGTCTCAGCTTTTGTACATCCTAATCCCATATAATCCGTCTAGACCCTACAACGCTTGAAAGCGTGATAGTGGTAGTGATGGTACTCCTAGTAGTGATGAGTAGAAGAGCAATTTGAGACCCCTCCAGCCAAGAAGCCCAGGTTGGCTGCACAGGCCGTGGAGTTCTTGGGCACGGAGCCAGCGGACCACTTCTGGCACCTCGTCGGCTTAGTGCCGACCTAGATGAAGCTTTCAAGTGCGCATGGCCGGCTTTTAGGTGCAACGGGTACTGGGGGTGGGTGCAACTATGAGGAGGGTCTTGAAAGCTTGTGTTGGGGAAGAGTTCAGTTCGCATGCCTCATACTTTGACGCTCTTCCTCGCCCACGCAGCAGACTGCAATTTCAAGCTCCTCCTGCCGAAGCCTTTCCTCCAGCCCTTCCTTCCTTAGCCTCTGCACGCGTCGAAGCCACAAACCTAGGGCTCAAGGCTTCAAACCCGAGCACTCGCTTCAATCCCATCCTCTGAGTTTATAAACCCTACTACAACCCTATAAACTATATAAACCCTATAATATATAAAGGGTTTAGGAATAGGGATTGTGTGTCTCAGAAGAGCGGCTGCCGAGGCTCCCGATCCGCCAGTCCATCGTCGAGGCTCTCCAAAATTTGGCGCCGCGCTCAGCCACTTCTGCCCACAGAGCTCTCCAGCCCGTGGTGTGGATTTTCGGGCTTCGGAATGTAGAGGTTTACCTATAGTCTCCATTGTAGTTCTTTTTTGGGGTTCCCTTATAGGATCCTAAGCATTAAATTGGTTTAACCAAAAAAAGGAACTACAATGGAGACTACAGGTATGAATTGGCTGAGGGGCTCAGGATAGACACTTTCCGGCATCAGGGCTACCCTGGGCGTCAGAAACTAAGCAGTTTGGAGAGGTTTTGGTGATTTGCGATTTCGTGTTGGTTTTGTCAATTTGCTCGGCTTGAGGTTGTTCTGGGGCTTTCAGGCATAATCATGGGGGCTGCTGGGCATAGCGTCGTCCCAGGGGTGGCTTGATTCAGGCCAAGTAGGGTCTATATACACTGTCGAGCTGGCAGAACGTTGGATTTCGGGTCATCCTTTCGCTCCTTGACCTTCTTGCTGTTGTTCTTGGGGTCTCTATCTGCTTTCATCAAAGGAGGCGTGCACCTCAGACCTTCAAGCTCTGTCAGACTCTGAAAGGCCGGACCTAAACCTCCACACCACAGCTGCTTTTGCAAATTGCCCTAGAGCAATCAGTGGAGACCCTTGACATCCCTCTCAAAGCCTTCAGGCAGCTGACTGTATGTGAGACCCCAAGGCCAGTAGCCGAAAGCACCCCTTTAGAGCCACCTAAACCCTAAACCCTAATTTTGAACCCTAAACCCTAAGCAGTGGCTTTCCGGAACTTCCAGTGACCACGCCATGGCATGCGCGCTGCTCGATGGACAAAGCGGCGACTTGGCAGTACTTGGGCTTCGGTCGTGTCATTTGGGCCATGGGTGGACTAGGAGAAGGGTTTAGGGTTTAGGGTTCATGGGGGGGTGATCAGTGACTAGGTGCAGGAGTGCCGGTCCTGGCCTTGTGTGGGGCACGTGAGGCTGGAGGCTCCGCGGTCCGACTTGGGTTCAGCACGTAGCCGTCGCCACTGTCAAGAGCCGAGGTAGTGTAGTTGGTCGGCTGCTGTAGTGGAACTCGCACGTGCTGCAGGGGGCGGCAAAAGCAGAGGAAGAAGAAGAAACTGTAGGCTGCCAGTGACCTGTCACGGGTTGAGAGGCAGCTATCAAGAGCAGAGCATAAGCTGACTGCCGCGGTCCCTGAAGTTCCAACCCAAAACATCTATGGACGCCACCAAGCTAGTTGCAAGACGGCCCCAAGACCCGAGTTTGCATTGCTTGGCGAGGATCGTGTCAAGGGTCTGGTGCTGGGCTGCGCTCTGGGCGATGCCGTCGGCTTGGCCACGGAGCCTAGGCCTCAGACCCCGGATCTCGGTGCATCCCCGGGCTTTACACTATCCCTATAAAGACCCTAAACCCTAAACCCAAAACCCTAAACCCTAAACCCTAAACCCCAGTCCGAGCCTGTCTTGAAGGTTCATGACCGCAGCCGAAGCCCAAGCTGCCTACGAGCCGCTGCTGCTGGACCGGCAGGCCAGGCTTCCCAGAGACTCCGAGGTCCCGTGCATGGGAGTCCTTTGAGTTCTTGCAGAGGGTAGGCTTCGACTTCAAAGTCCTTCCGACATGGCCAATCCCTATGCCCTTTCATCAGAAGTGCGATTTCGCTGCGCAGAAAACTCGACAGCACTCGGATGGACTGGGCTTTTGCACGTGCATCGTTATTGGCGGAGCTGCGTGGCTGCAGGCACATGGTCAGCACCCCTGGTTGAGACCTGGAGATGCCGTTCAAGACGGCCATCGCAGCAAGTGGCGCGCCGGCGAATCTTGACAGATGTTTGTCGTGTGTGATGAGTTTTGAGTTGTCAGGGAGGTTTTTGCGTTTGGGCACCTCGGTTTCATGCACAGGAGCTCCGGCGTAGGGACTTGACCTGTTCCCCTGCACACTCAGGATTGGACAGATGACACGGATCAGCTGGTCCTGGTGTTGAGGCCACGCTGTCGAGTTGAGACCATGTCGCATAAGAGGGTACGAAGATGTACGAAGAAGCTACGCCCATATCCACTCTGATCAGACACAGCTCCAGATGGTAAACTGAAGGGATTCCGCTCGGCATTTGGATCCGGCCCTATCTTTGGCTTGGCCCTAAATCCTTACTAATACTAGTTACTAGTACTTGTACTCATACTAACACGAATACTGACTCAAATACTATCCTAACTTCGGAGGTGTCTACTCCCGGCTGTCGCCGGAGAGTCACTGCGACCACCCGAACCCACGGAGTTCGCAGAGCGGCTGGTGAGCTGGTGCCCAAGCATAACGAGAGTGCCCGTAGCAACGCATCCTTGACGATACGGATGATGACGATGGTGGTGATGATGATGATGCTGATGACTACGACGACGATGATGATGAATACATACATACATATTATATACGTACATATATACACATATATATATATATAATCATATATATATATATATAAATTACATATGATACACAGAAGATCTGGCCAGTACGCGTCTTGCCAGTAGGCAGTTCCTGGCCTTGGCGGCCCTCACAAGCCTAAACATATCAAAAGCCATAATCAGGAGGCCTTTCATGAACCCCGAAAGCTTCAATCGGAACTTCAAAGCTTTCACAAACATTTGAAAGCTTCAATCGGAATTTCAGAGCCTTAAGAACATGGAAGCTTCAATCGGAACATGAAAGCTTCAATCGGAACTTCAAGGCTTTCCCACTTCTCTGCCGAGTCCTCAAAAGCCGAGGCACAAAGTCGGCTTCCCTGTGCCTTGGGCTTTGGGAGCGGCTCAGAGCCTTTCTTGGGGTGTTGGGACGGCTCTTCGTTTGGGGCTTCAGGGTTTTGGGGTTTAGGGTTGAGGGGTTTATAGNNTTTAGGGGTTTTGGGTTTAGGGTCTTCTAGGCGTCATCAAGCCATGATGCTCCATGGAAAGCACATATATAAGACCAGGCTGCATCCAAGCACGCGTTCTATGTATGTCGTCGCATCGCGACTCATGATCCAACGGCTTGTTTGCAGCCGAAGTTTTGATTAGCTTCGGGTGCAGTTCCTCAGCCCAGGAGCTCGGTGACACAGGCGGCTGCGGCATGGGGAGGTACTTTGATTGCTGTCCACGCGCGCCGGCATGGTATTCAATCCACACCCCTACCATGCCCAAGCCCCAATGAACATCTTAAATCTCGAACCCGAAGCCCGGAACTCAACAACTCCCTGCACCCCTGAACCCAGAAGGAGCACGGCACGCGTACTCGATGAGCCGACCTTCTTGGCACGGCCTGCAGACGCAGCTCGGCCCCTGGGCTCGGGGTCTTTGGGGGCTCAAGGGACTCTACGGACGCAGGGGCGTTGTTAATTTCCGAGTTCGGGCTGTCATGGGCTTTCGGACAGTTTCGTATTTAGACAGGCTTTCGGGTAGTGGAGCTGTGCGGCCTCAGCCCAATTCTGAACGGCAAATCCCCAGATTCGCCTGACCGCAACAGTTTGCTGGTGGAAAGTGCCATCGCAAGCGTGGTGCGTAATTACTTCGACGAACCTGGCAACTGTTCGAGCAGTAGCACCATCGCCCACAGTACTTGTAGTGGTCGCCGTCGTCGTCGTCGGATTAATACAACACGACGCAGCAGTAGTAGTAGTAGTAG